ATCCTATATAATAAAAGCCTAATATGCTAAGTGTCCAGTCATTTAGTCATCAGTTCAAATAATCAAAGCATAATATGCTAATGATATGCTAAGGCTGCTCAACTGCTTGCTATGAGGTGCAATGAGCACCAGGGGGCAGACAGTCGACCGGTAGACCAATCAGGACTGAGCAAGACGGGCTAGACACACCCTGGAGCCCTCCTAGTCCCTCCCCAGCTGGCCAACCTCCTGTGTCCCTCCCTGGCCCCGATTGTGCACCAGTGGGGTCCCTCGGCCTGGCTTGTGCCCTCTTGCAATCTGGGACCCCTTGGGGAATGTCGGAGAGCCAGTTTCGGCCTGATCCCACAGGCCAGGCTGAGGGACCCCACTGGTGCACGAATTTGTGCACCAGGCCTCTAGTTTATATATAACACCTAATTTTGCATTCTCATGTCTACTTGAGATGAGCTCTACAGTTTCAAGTTTCTAAAGTATTTATAGAAGAAATGTAGTTTCTGAGATGTTTAAATTTCTGCCAGAATCATCTTGTTTTGCTAGGAACTGAAAACAAGATTCCAGCTCTGGTTTGGCCAGTGTGGGGCATAGCTGAACAGATACTCTCTCAGGTGTGGAATTTATATGAACACAGTAAATGCTGGCTTGTTTTTTGTTGTTGTTGTTGTTTTTTGTTTTGTTTTGTTTTGGTCACCCAAGTGACACTTCAGCTCATTTTGAACTTCTTGTCATTTAATCCCATAGTTCTCTTTTATCTGGAAATCCTTAGCAGGAAGACAAAAGGGAAATAATTACCTTAGGCAAATTTAGGATAGAATTATTGGCAAGTATAACATGGTCCTTTAGACTTGCAGTGTTGCTTGTGGGCATCTTGCTGCTAATTTTGCTTTTGAAGCCACAGGCAATGAGGGACATTGTGTCACCCACCTGAGGGAGGTGTGCAGAGTGTCTTGAGACTAATCTACTCAGACTCACACAAGGGCTTCAAAGGGAGTTGAACTCTGGAGTCTTTTTTATAAATTTCTATGTTTTTCTATCCTATGCATAATGTTTTATTTGTTACTTTTGAGTGACTGAAAGAGAAGATATAAAAAGGAAAAAACAACTCTTTATAGACTCAGTCACCCAAATGACTCCTTAAAGAAGCTTACAGAGCAGCAGTTCACTAACATCTATATCTATATCTATATCTATATCTATATCTATATCTATATCTATATCTATATCTATATCTATATCTATATCTATATCTATATCTATATCTATATCATCTATATCTATATCTATATCTATATCTATATCTATATCTATATCTATATCTACAGTAGCTATGATGTTTAATGACCACCAGGGGGCAGATGCTCAATGCAGGAGCTGCTGAGCTGCAGTGACTTGGCAGCAGCGGTTCTCAGGGGATGCACCCTGGAACCAGAGAGGAGGGAGCCTGATTCTGGGTGCATCACCCAAGAACCTCCCTCTTGCAATCCCCTTGGAGGATGTTGGAGAGCTGGTTTTGGCCCAATCCCCACAGGCCAGGCCGAGGGACCCCACCTGCCAGAGAGACCCCACTCACTCCACAGATGCCCTTCGAGCCACGGCGCCACCCCAGGTGCGGCCTGCACGGAGGGACGTAGGAGGATGGCTCCAGGTTGTATCCGGTCCATCCGCCCAGTCCCGCCCCGCTGGTCACCTTCTAATTAATTTCCTTTCAATGTGCATGAATCCATGCACTGGGGCACTAGTTGCTTGATAAAAGCAAATGGGAGCATGTGACGTCTCACCATACATTAACGATACACTAATGAAAAAGAGGCCCCTGTTGTGTCTGCAGTGCTGAATTTGGTAAAATCTCAAGATTCAGACTCTAAACTAAGAAGAGACCACATTGACTAATTCAGGGCCATACTTTTGCTCCTGAGAATATTTTTTCCAATTCTTTTTCTTAAAGTATATATTTTTATCAGGTCATGTGTGTTTGTTGAGACCCACATTCCTTGTGCCCTCAAGGCCTCCATAAGCTGGAATCTGTAGCTGGTCTGCTCCTTTATCTTTCAGCAACAGGGAACTTGTTTTCTTATTTTCCTTTAAAAATTGTATTTCACATTTTCATTTCAAACTTTATAGGGAATTTAATCAACTATTTGAGTCCCTACTATGTAATACTTAGTGTGTTAGTTGACATCATACAAGGAGTGTGTTGAGGATCATTGATTCAGCCCATGCCCGTCTGAGTCAAATGACAATGCTTTTCCATTACAACACAGCCACTTATGTTCTTATAACGTATGTAAGTACCCTGCCTCCTTGGGGAGAGCCTCCTATATTCCAAACAAAGACAAAGTCTCTAAAGTGTTTATTCAAATAAAACTGGTTCAAAAAACCAGTTAATATGTAGAAAGTCGAATCTACAGCTATAGACTTCCTGCCTATCAATAGGCACCACCATAATTTGTATCATTTTCTTGAGATTAAAATCCACTACCACCACCCACCCTCCAGATATTCTACCTATTAATGCTTTTAAAGGTGTGAATCATATGTGTCACTCATGAATTAAATCCAATCTTATTCTTAATGTGACCCTAAGAGTATGAATAAATATTCAAAGTCCTTCTGATGCCTAGGTTATCTGTCAGCTGAACATATTTCTCACATGGATTTTATTGGTCAGTGCAGTGTTGGTTCCTACCACACTATGGTTTTAAAATTTTTAAATTAATTTCCAAGATTTAAAAATTGAGAATTTTTGCATTTATATTCATGAATAGCATAATTACTTTTTTACTCTTGGGTGTCACTGCCTTCTTTAAGACAGAACACCTACTTTCTACCAGTCTTCTTGTCTCTCTTTTTCTCTCTCTTTTTCCCCTGACAGTGAAGCTGTGTGTCAGGTTTCATTTAGCATCTAACACAAAGCCATTTTTATCCCTTGTCTGGTCCCTGTAGGCATTTGACTATGGATCTGTTTCTATCTCATTAAACAACTTTGGAGAATAGTTACACTTATTTATATATTTATTTTAATTTTATGATAAAAATTGTTTTTGGTAATGTGCATTGTACCATCAAACCTAATATGAGTGCCTTTTCTCTTTTATTTGGAAAATATTTTTATTCTTAGAGTGCTATTTGCATATCCCAATATTTTGACACAAGGACATCAAATGGATGTAGACAAGAGGACAGTGTGTAAGGGAGGCAGTGGTTAGCTTTAATGACTTTACCATTTCACCCTGAAACTAAAATGGAGAGAAACAAATCCTATAGAAATACAAAATAATTTGAGAGAGGATGTGAGTTTGGTCTATCTACTTTGACTGCTTGCAATCTGCTTTGAAATCTCTTACTGAAAAGATATCAGAATGTGAAGACTCAAAATGTATCCTGTGTCCAAGTAGCATTCAGAGATATACTTTCAAAAAGAAACAGAAGTCTTAGTTCAGATGAAAATTAGTGTTACTACTCCCATTGTTCAGCATTTCCCATAGATCAGACACCATGCTAAGTGACTATATAGTCTCATTTAATCCCCTCTATAACTCTGATATAGAATATATCTCCATTTTAAAGCTGAGGATACTGGGAAATCTCAGAAATAAAGTGGCTTGCCCAAGCTAGCACAGCTATAATCTCAGGTAGGGCCTGAGATTCCAGAACAAATCTGTCTTCTTCTAAAGCTCTATCCTCAAAATCGCTGGTCACACTACTTGTTCCTTGCTATCTTTCCCAATTTATTAATCTGGAATATTAGTTTGTTGTCTCTAAACTCAGAGCTGCAAATGATAATGAAATATAATGTTGGTTTTGAGTGTTTTGTGACTTCTTTGTGGATATGGAGAGAGAACCAATATGAATCTGCACCTTCATGCTCTTGTTATCAACTGGCTGCATCAGATACCTCATCCTGAATATTGGGCAGGTCACTATGCCTTCGAGTTCCTATTACCAGCAAGATGACCAACCCTGCATTTAACTGAGGCTGTTAATGGGATGTCTTCCCACTTGTGTGTAGTTCTCAGACTGCCTCATATGATTCAGTTCTGCTTAGATTAACATAGATTTATGACATACTTGTCAAATTATACTTGGGATATATACCAAGTATATGACTACGCCCCTGTCCCTTCTGTCGTGTGACCTTAGACAAGTTTCCTAATATATCCGAGCCTTAGCTTTCTCATTGCTAAGCAGGAAAAATTGCACCACCTGCCATAGGGGTGTTGTGTGGGAAAAATAAACTTATTCCTTAGCATATTGCTGGCTCAAAATATTAATTCAATATCAGTTTCTTGCCTACATTTTGTTTTTATTTTCAGTTAAATGGTATGTTCTCATCAGTAGTCCAGAAACACAACTTACAAAGAGAAAAAAAATCAATAGCTTAGCCCTATTATTTTAAAATTATTTTTTTGTCACAGGGTGACTAGTCAGTTCCCTACTTGCATGGTTCACAAAGATAAAGCCAGAGTCTCTAACAACCAAGATCCTTAAAACACAGAACAGTAGGAAGAGCAACAAAATGAAGAGTGACTGCAAAGACTTGCTTGTATGTAGAGTTAAAAGGTGACAGAAGCATCCTAAGCTGTTTGACACTGTTGGCAGGTGGCTGGAACAAGTCCTTGGAGTGATTCATGTGGGATTTGTGATGCCCATTTCAAGTGAGCTCCGGAGACAGCCAGTCTCTTTATGGAGAGAGGCGGCATTTCATGTTCTCTCAGCACTGCACGGGGCAGGTGTGTGCTCTCAGCCACAGCAAGCAGAAGCAAGCTCTGGAAGGACTTAGGGGAAATGTAAAATCTGCTTGTTTGGGGAAGCTGGCCATCGGTTTTGCAATTGGCATTCTAGCCTCTCACACACATTTAGGAGATGAAAGGCCCTCTGTTACCCTCCTCCCTGTCCCATCCTGCTGCAACTACCCAAATCGCTTTTAAAAAGAGGAGTCTTGGTAAAGAGTCCCTAGATTATCCACGTTTTCTCCTCTTTTGTCTTACATTTATGTTTTTCAGGACAAATGATACTGGTTTTCTTTCCTTCAAAGACCACTTGCCTGTCACTCAGATAGTTATCACTGATACCAACAGATCAAACTCAGAAGCTGCTTGGAGAATTGGTCCCTTGCGTTGCTATGGCGACCGTGAGTACTAATGAAAGAAGCTTTCCCTCTGCACTACATACGCACAGGATGTCCAAAATTCCCCCTTCCCTTTCCCTGCAGTTCCCCAGGCTTCAGAGTTATCATACACTTGCCCAGCTCTCTGTACCCCATTTCGGAACAGTCAACCATGCTCAAGGATTTTCTTACTTGCAGGACACTTCTGGAACGCAGTCTCCTTTAATACAGAAGCCTCCTACCTCCACTTTCCTACCTTCCATGCGGAATTCAGTGCTGACATTTCCTTCTATTTTAAAACCACGGCTCTCTCTGGAGTTTTCCTAGAAAACCTTGGCATTACAGACTTCATCCGCCTTGAAATAAGCTGTAAGTTCCCTCCTTTATGAATTACTAATGTAATTGGTCAGCAGGAGAAACTTCAGTCTGACCTTTGCCACTGAGTGCCTGTTTGTATCACAAAATTAATCTCACTGGACATCTGTAAAATGAGCAGTGACAATTTCTAGTTCCTTCTAAGGCTTTCTGCATTATTATCACCTATCAGTATTTAATCAGTCATTCTCTCACCACGTTACTGCATCACCCAAATGTTCATGGCTACCTATGGCAGCGTTCTTGATCTGATCCATGGGTATTTCTTACCAATGACTTAAGCTTCCAAACCACAGATGTGTTCATGACAGTTTCCATGGAAAGCTAAAGCGTTGTTATTATGCCTTCCATTCGTAACTGGGGCCCACTTTTTTTGTTGTACTTTTGCTCTGAAAGTAATTTCCTCACTTATGTTCCACCACTAGGAGTGTGTCACTACCCTGTGAGATCCCCATTGTTCCTCTCCCATTGCACCATGAACTTGGGTGTATCTAGTGCATTTGATGACAGTACATATCATTTTTAACATCCTATCTCCTATATACAAGTTATATTTAGAAATAATTATAAAGTTAAATGAAAAATAATAGAATTCAGATGGCAAGATGTTCTATTATGAAAATTTAATATGTAATCTTGTCAATAAAAATAATGCAGTACAGAAAAAAGACAATATAATAGATAAATACTTTCCACTTACATTAATTACTTTTTATAAAAAAGGAAAGATCATACCTACTTATTGGTTTGTCTAGTAACAATAAAAGCATTAAAATTTCTGTTCCTTAGACCTTAATTCTACAAATTTATTAATGACTTCATAAAAAATATTTAAAAAAACTATAGCCGAAACCGGTTTGGCTCAGTGGATAGAGCGTCAGCCTGTGGTGTGAAAGGTCCCAGGTTCGATTCCGGTCAAGGGCATGTACCTGGGTTGCGGACACATCCCCAGTAGGAGATGTGCAGGAGGCAGCTGATCGATGTTTCTCTCTCATCGATGTTTCTAACTCTCTATCTCTCTCCCTTCCTCTCTGTAAAAAATCAAAAAATATATATATTTTTAAAAAAAGCTATAATCAGGTGTATCTACCTATTTTCTCTCAGATTTATCAAAAAGGTACTTTTTATAAATTTTTAATTAATTGTTTTCACATGGGTAATAAAAGGATAAATGTCAGGAACTGTTTTAGACATAAGGATAAGGTTGGTACAGATTCATAAAAATTCCATTTCATAATAAGTTTTAAAAATTGCAGTACTTTCCATGTAATTTCTTCAGAATTAAATCTAATAACTTCAAATATCTCTGCAATAAATAAAATAATCTACTAAAATATTTTTATCAGAAAATTCATCATAGATTGCTATTCTATTTGGTAAAAATGTAAGAGTTGCTGGGGATTTGGAACTGCTTGAGCTCTCTCTGTGTGCAGTTTGTGTCTGCAACCTCTGTGATACTACATATGTGTTTCAACAGATTAGAGTTAAACAATATTAGCACAGTAATTATAAAAGTGAAAACTCAGAACTTGAGTTCTTACCCTTAAAAATAAATACATACAGGGTGTAACAAAAAAAGGTTTACAGTTGTGAGAATGTGGAACAGTTTATTCTTGTGTTATTATTTATTAATTAGAGGCCCAGTGCACGAAATTCGTGCAGTGGACGGGGGTCTCCTCAGCCCGGCCTGCACTTTCTTGCAGTCCGGAAGCCCTCAGGGGATGTCTGACTCCTATACCGCTGCTGCGCTCACCAGCTGTGAGCCCGGCTTCTGGCTGAGCAGCGCTCCCCCTGTGGGAGTGCATTGACCACCAGGGGGCAGCTCCTGTGTTGAGTGTCTGCCACCTGGTGGTCAATGAACATCATAGCAACAGATTGTTCTGCCGTTCAGTCAATTTGCATATTAGCCTTTTATTATATAGGACTATTGTATTATTTTTCATATGGACAACTGTAAACCTACTTTTGCTTCACCCTGTGTATTTGAGTCTACGTGTTCAGGAGTCACCAGTGGATCTGGCATTCTCTGTATTAATTTCCCTTTTGCACATAATATTTTTTAAATAGTAATAAATAGTGCTCTATGAGGCTTACATGCACATGATTAAAAATAATATTAACATTAGCACTGGATAGAACTTAAGCAAAAAATATTTTTTTTGTTAGAAAACTGTGTTATCATTGATGTTTAGAATCACTGGTGTATGGCAATGATGAAAAACAGATCTACTTTCAGCTGTGTGGGCTAGTTTTCCAATTTGCTGCACTCAGGGTACCCCTTTATTTCTCATGCGTAGGTGGACTGCTTGCACGGTCTTGCCCATATTGTACCCATAACCATGGAGATTCACACTTGTTATTAAGAGGCTCATTTATCTGTGTCTAAATGGATGTGTTCTGTAGCTTGATTGAGGCAATTGACCATATTGCAATAATGTGACCTCATCATATTCCCTTGAAAGCACAAGTAATGTCTTACCATGGAAAACCGGAATTTAAGAGCTCCACGAAGAAGGCAAAGGGCCCTGGCCAGAGGAGGTAGCGGCTGTGTCTGTGTGCTTCTCCTGCAAATCACCCGTGGCCGAGTGTTCCCTCTGCAAGTGCACATGAGGCTACAAGGGAAGGGATTCTTTTATTGGCAGTTTTGACCTCCTTTCACTACAACAACTGAGACTATCTCTGGGAGGAAACTCCTGTCTTTAGTGTAAAGTAAGATCCCTGGTACCTAACGGCCTGGAACTGAAAACGTGGAGTTGAGTGCCAACCATTTCATAATGGGAATATAATAACCACAACATAAATTTAATAAAAATTAGGCCCCAAGGCCACTTGATTCATTCCAGGAGCAGCTAATGTCATGGCTTATCATCATAGGCTAATGAGTGATGATTTGGTGTTAATTATGTTGCAATGTCCAATTTGTACTTTCTGGTGCTGTATTTTGACTTTGGGGTTATACAAAAATGTTTTAAATGCAAGTAATATTACATTTGATGAAAATGTAAAATCCACGAGGATTAAGTTATAAACAACTTGACAATTAGGTACTGTTTTTATTCCTATTTTACAAATGAGAACACTGAGCCTGCACAAGATAGAAAACGCCTCAGGTCATGGTGGCTCCAGAGTCTACTCTCAAATTTTACTTTAAGGCCTTTAACTTATTACTTCCCTCTAGGTCAGGGCTCACATTTGCCAGATGCAAAACAATTCAAGTTCTCAGTTACAGGAAATTTTGCAGATTGGAGTTTCTTACACCAGGACTGGCTTTCTGTTAGGGTTTAAAGCTAAGGAGGGAGAGTTCCAGGGTGGCATTTGACCTTTGATAATTCAGGTCTTGCAGGTGGTGACTTTGTGAGATAAATACCCATGTTCTGTTTTAGAGGTAAAGGAGAGGGGCCATCTCAGGTGCTGGGAAAGAAGGGATGATTCCAGCTATGGAAAGGGGCTGTCTTCTCCTCAGCTTCAGTGTATTACTTACCTCTCCACTTCCTTCAGATTCATAAAATTTTATGTAATAATCCATTCTAATAATAGACAAACATGGTAATTGACCATACCTTCGCTACACCTCCCATTGGCTAATCAGCATGATATTCAAATTAACCGCCAACAAAGATGACGGCTAATTTGCATACTGCAGGCAGGGCGGGACAGCGCAACCACCAGTGCAAGAGCTGCCATCCAGGCCCCCATGTGCGACCCCAGAAACCTCCATCCGCCGCCCGTCGGGCTGCAGGCTGGCCCCAGAAGCACCAGAAGCCGCCCAGAAGCCAGT